GTGCTCTGGCAAAGGATGAATCCTGGTCTGCCAAGAATAATTCGCCGGGTCCCACAAGAGGCGCTTAGTTTATAGAGAGATAAATTTTCGTTACAGTGAATTCGTTTATTCAGAAATTCATTCGTTTGAATTAAAACGAAAGAAGTAAAAAAAAAAAAAAAAGGTAGCACTATATTGAGAGTCATTTTGATTTATGTAAGGGCTGTAATGAGTTTAAATTCGCCGGGTCCCACAAGAGGCGCTTAGTTTATAGAGAGATAAATTTTCGTTACAGTGAATTCGTTTATTCAGAAATTCATTCGTTTGAATTAAAACGAAAGAAGTAAAAAAAAAAAAGGTAGCACTATATTGAGAGTCATTTTGATTTATGTAAGGGCTGTAATGAGTTTAAATTAAAGAAAGAAATGTTAGCCAACATAAAGATAAGTTTACCACTTTCTCCTTTGCGTACATTAAATATTTATCTAATAAATTTTCTTTTTTGAACTTTGGATTCTTTTATTTTTTAAATGGTGCAGTTATCCTAAAGGCTTATTTTACATATATAGGCGTCCTATTGTTACTTTCATTTCATCTTTTCCTGGAAAACGACCTTAAGCTGACCCCAATTCGCCTGCGTTATTATTGGGCGTGTCTTACTATTATAGTTTTCCCTTTCATCTCGGATACAAACCAATCTATAGCCTGTTTCTTGACTCGAATTCGGTAGAAAATCTTAGAAACTTTGAGTCACTATTACAATGTGTAGTCATTCCGGACTAATCTAAGAAAACGGCTATAAAAAGGCGAGTGATCGAATGATACAGGCCAGAAAGCAGCCCGTAGCGCACGACAAGAGAGGGTTCTTTTGGAACGAATTCTATTTTCAGATAGCAGCCCATAGCGCACGACAAGAGAGGGTTCTTTTGGAACGAATTCTATTTTCAGATAGCAGCCCGTAGCGCACGACAAGAGAGGGTTCTTTTGGAACGAATTCTATTTTGCTAGAGCTTTGTTTACAGTGTGTCAGTAGATTTCTCTTCATCATTTCTATCCTTTTTGCACAGTGTGTTTTATTCAACATTTTACCGGTACCAGCCAAACAGTATTCTGTAAGTCAATAGTTTTTAATTACATTTCTTTTTGATTTTGTAATTTATTGTTAACTTAATAAATTTTATTAATTGTAATTAGCCCTGGTTTGAGTATCGCATTCATTTTTATTGTATACATATCATTTGGTATCGTAGTTTGTTGTGTACTAATTTAGAAGGAGCCAAACACTGAAATAGTAGATTAATTTCTCCCTATTGACAACAGTGCGTAACACCTACTTAACCTTGTTTCAAGTAGAGCATATTATTCTTTGAGTCCGGGAATAGCCTTGTGGTATTCACTAAGCGTTACATAAATATCCGTTTCGTGTCAATGCAACTTCCGGACATTTAAAAATGTTTGGTATTCCGTGTTTCTCTCTAAAGAATTTTCAGTAAATTAATGTCAGTACTGTCTCAAAGGCAGTGCAACTATTAGTCTACTCAAAGCCATGCAATGAATCCGTCCGTTCAAAGCCATGCTAGCAGACGTCTGTGTTAAAATAGGAAGCATGCATTCATTTTTTTAAAAAATATGATTTTACATTCAGTTCTACACTTCAATGCGTACATCGTGCGGAAAGACAGTTAAGAGCGTATGATATTCTCTACACCCACCAGCGGTTCTCACCTCATCGGTCCACGTAAAAACAAGAAACCCGTTACAGACAAAACTTTGCTTCACTTCATTGACCTCCACAATGGACATCAGCTCGAACTTGATGTTGATGAAGATGACGCGCGACTGGTCATTGAGTGGTCTGATCTCCGTTCTGTAGCGGTCACTCGCCAGCTTGTCTCTGTGAATCGCCATGGCGTCATCGTACTTTTGAACATTGCAGACCGGGAGCTGCATCAACAGTGAAAGAAAGCAGGATAGAATGCTGAAGTCGTATCCAGATTCCATTTTGGGTGATCCCCCATTGTCCTGTGGCTCATGCCTGTGCAGAGTTGGGAAATGGTCAGATGAAAAGGATTCTATATTAATAAACATTTAAAAAAAAAAAAATGATTTGCTTTAAAAGATAGTATTAGCTTTTCAACTTTCTGAAATATACAATTGGGTTTTTATTATCATTCTGTTATACTATATTTATATAACACCATAATGTGTTTAAAGAACAAAAATCCTTTTTTTTTTCGTTGGTAAAATATATATTAAAGATAATGCTGTTGTTGTTTGTTTTTAAATGCAATTTCGGTAGTAACCAATTTTCATCTACGAAATTTGAAAGAAGCCTTACCTTGGACTTGTGTAGAATTATAACCTTTATTGATTATATTTAGACGTGTAGACAGTAACGTCAGAATCTTACAAGAGCAAAGCGAAACTAAGATATGGAGCTGGCAAAGCCCTCTTATTCAATATGAAAACGAAAAAAAAGTAAGAAAAATATAGGGTCATTTAAATTGTACTAGTTGTTTTCGTTGCACGGAATATCTCGATAACAAATGCATATTTTTTTTAATACACAACCAGACCATCATCCAATTCATAAAGTAGCCATCTTTAGGCGGAAATAAACATTGAAGAGAGAGAAAAAAAATGCTTAAAAAGTCGGAATAGGAAGTGTTAACGTAAGGAAATTTTGACAAAACGAAAGGTTTGTAAATAGACGTGAAACTGTGTACCATATTATGGGGGAAAGATGCAAACTGCAAGCTAGAAATGCAGGCAATCAAAAGGTTGGCGCTCCAACCTCTTACATATTTTTAGTTGATATCAGCTGTTAACAATTAAATGGGTGTGGTGGAGAAGACTGAAGATAATAGATTAAAAAAAGAAGTCTCATCAAGCCAACAAACAAACACAATCTATTGTATGGCCCACATTTTAGAATTCTGAAACATTATAAACTAATCCGTTATCATAATTATTTTTATTGAAAAGACAAAAATATGTCAAAGGAAAAATAACTGGCTTTCAGCATGCGTTTATTATGACTGACCCTACAAATTAGTACATATAGATAGATATATATGTATATATNATATAGATATATATATATATATATATATATATATATATATATATATATATATATATATATATATATATATATGTATATTGTATAAGCATCTTGGGTGGATTAACCTTGGATGGAAACTCATCTGTGAGAAGGAGATTCATGAATGAATTCAATACCGGAGATGGAGTGCTGATATGATGCCAGCTGTGCCAAGAGATGGTGCCAGCTGTTCCAAGAGATGGTGCCAGTTGTTCCAAGAGATGGTGCCAGCTGTGCCAAGAGATGGTGCCAGCTGTTCCAAGAGATGATGCCAGCTGTGCCAAGAGATGGTGCCAGCTGTTCCACGCTAAAAGCCTTCAAGAGGCGGACATGCACAAAGTATATGTAGGTGCATTACTAAACTATGTGGCCTCAGTGGGGACATCGTTGACAAGCTGTCCAACTCTGCGATAACAGAAATGTGTCAGAAGCAGATAGTTAATGTGGAACAAATACACTCGAATTGGTGCTCCAGACGGTTGTTTGCTTTGCTTGTACCAAAGCCCTTCCCGCTATGCTAAAAGTCGGTCCTCTGTATCAAAGACCTTCTCTCTATACCAAAGGCCGGTCCTGTACCAAAGACCTTCCCTCTATTCAAAAGACGGCCCTCTGTACTAAAGGCCTCCCCTCTGTTCCAAAGGTCGACCCACTTTACCAAAGCCCTTCCCTCTGTACCAAAGGCCTTCCCTCTGTACCAAAGGCCTTCCCTCTGTACCAAAGGCATTTCCTCTGTACCAAAGACCTTCTCTCTGTACCAAAGACCTTCCCTCTATTCAAAAAACGGCCCTCTGTACTAAAGGACTCCCCTCTGTACCAAAGGTCGACCCACTTTACCAAAGCCCTTCCCTCTGTACCAAAGGCCTTCCCTCTGTACCAAAGGCCTAACCTCTGTACCAAAGGCCTTCCCTCTGTACCAAAGACCTGTCCTCTGTATCTAATGCTGGCCCTTGGTACAAAAGGCCGGGCCTACGCTTATGTTTGTAAAAACAGCATTTAATTAAAACAAACATTGATTAATAATAATTACGTTTTTTAATGGGAGTTACTTATAGTTTTCGCTAAAGTGAAAATAAATTAAAATCAGATGTGAGCTCCAAGTGATATTTTCAGTGGGTCAACCTCACTGCCCAAAATTTAATTTTCTTAATTAATCAACATCTATTTGGTAAAAAAGAAATAATTTATTGACAATATTTTTTTAAATACTTTATGTGCATTAAGATCTTAATTCTATCCAAAAAAAAATCTAAAGAATGTATTAAATAACAAAAAAAAATGGTTAGTATGGAGACTAAATTTATTAAGCTAATTTTTATGACATCATTTCATCCCTAATGAAACAGTGTTGGCTTTGATAGGAAGACCAGGACGTCACTTCCTCCAACCTGTTCAATAAAATCATTGGATATAAAGGGAAACAACAATGAGTTCATAAATACAAGGGGAACTTGGTTCCCCATTTATTGTTATAAATATTGTCGTGCAAGCAACGAGTCTGAATTTAAAAGTTTGTCAAGTTGTATTTATAGACAATTTTTTTCCAGTTATGTTTATAGACCAGCGTAAAATAAACATTCATAAAATAAACATTCATAAAAAATGTGTCCAGTTATATTTATAGACAATCGCACAAATTTTGTCCAGTTATATTTATTGACAATCGTAAAAAATTATGCCCAGTTATATGTATATGCAATCGAAAAAAAAATTATCTCATGCATATGTTCACATTTCACAAAGTTTAAAAATTATCTCATGCATATGTTCACATTTCACAAAGTTTAAAAATTATCTCATGCATATGTTCAAATTTCACAAAGTTTAAAAATTATCTCATGCATATGTTCACATTTCACAAAGTTTAAAAATTATCTCATGCATATGTTCACATTTCACAAAGTTTAAAAATTATCTCATGCATATGTTCACATTTCACAAAGTTTAAAAATTATCGAAAAGAAACAACTATTTTTAAATCAAGTCATGGATGAAGAAACAAAAGTGTAGTAGTGCTAAAGAAAACCAGGTCAAAATAAAACCAAATATCAAAACAATTCATGGTTAGGAAAAGTCTGAGAATTATCGTGAATCAGTTCATGGGGGAGATAACACGATACGCGATTAGCGTCGCCTTCAGTCGGAACGGTTTTGTTATTTTTAGATTCTGTCTGGATTTTCAATGATTCATTTGCTAACAAAATATATAAAAAATGTAATAATTTTCATGTAATTTTTTTTTAATGCATAAACTAAATAATTTTGTGAGATTTCACTTTTTCTCAGAGTTGATTGGCAAAAAATTTCAAGAGTTCCGTGTATTTCTTTCATTCCTTGACAACCATCACAGAGTAATATCCAGGAGGAACCCCGATGTTATGGCGACCCAAACAACGAAAAACACCAGAAATGAAATGAAGTCAATGTTGTCGCCGATGACTTTGTACTTGTTGACTTTAGGTTTCCCCAGAAGGATCGACTTAGAGCAGGCTCCCTTGAGTGGCTGAGTCTCCGGCGCCCCTTGCTCTAGTGACGCTCGTCTGCTCTCCTGCGTTTTAGGCAGCAACGTCTGAACGCGCAGGGGATACTCAATGCGCTCTTTTAGCGTATAGATACCGTTGTCATTCTCAGGTTTGTTTCTGTGGACCGACGAGTGTAGGAGAGAACAATCCGGGGCGCAATCTGAGTCGTTCGTGGCTTGTGTTAGAGTGGACAGGGACGACAACCTGCGCTTTGCCGAAGGACGAGCGTTGCCGTTGGCGTTTGTAAATGTCTGAAGCTCCTCATCTTCGCTCAGTGGCGCCTCTTTTGTGCTTTGTGGTATCTCCGATAAATCGTAGCTTTTAGATTTGTCCATTTTTGGAATGATTCGACGCAAGTTCGTGACTTTTCTGTACAGTCTCTGGAAACTTGTTTTGGCTTTTTGGTGAATTGATTTCTTCTGGTTATAGGACATAAAATGATTAATAGTGAAAATAATGAAGATGCTTTAGAGAATTGAAATACAAATTTTGAAATAGTTTATATCAATTTTGCAAACAAAGACAAGCAAACTGCAAATTATTTTTCCTACGTATTCACCATTGTTATAGCCTCTGTGTTCATCTCATTTTAGGTCAATGTAGAGTTAAAGCTTCCCCCTCTTCCCCCTTCCCTTTTTATATTGATATCACCGATTAATTGTGTAGCGCTGTACCCACCCCTCCCTTGATTGGGAAAAGGAAATTTATGTTCTTATTTGATTTTAAGAATTATATCGGGTGACGGAATTTCTAGAATTTCTTTTCTGGTGGGTTCCAACTCTATACCTCTAAATGGGCCGACTGCTTTCTTAGCCTGAAGAGATTTTTTTAATAAATTTCCTAGACATTAATTTACGTGACGCAAAATACTTATAGTAGCATTACACGATGTTACTCTTCGTTTATGCGTTTATTGATATGTGTGTCTTTCGGGGTCTATACTTTTTCCTTTGCTGTGCTTTAGTTGATATAGTTTGTATTTCTGTCTATTTGATCTTCAATTTTTATATACATTAAATAGTATAATCATTCTGACTATTATTCCTATGACGAGCTTTGATATCGTTTTTTTTTTTGTTATACTGGTTTTCCGTCATTTCTTACGTGCTGTTCATCTAAAGAGCCAAAACTTAACACAGATTCAATTTCATTCGCAAAAGCCAGATTACTGTACGTAACAACTATACAAAATGCTTCAATTATTGTAATTTTTTGTTTGTGTAAAAACTTCGGATATCTTCTATATTCAAGCCGTGGGAGCATTTGTTTTATTTTGACAAAGTGAATTCGTGGCATATTCAAACACTTAATCGCTGTAAATGGTTTACGGTTTTAAGATATTATGCGATCTTATATTAATGAAATGAGTTAATTGGTAAATATTAAAAATTTGATCACTGTAATTGTTTTTTTTTGTTTTTTTTTTGTTTTTTGTTTTTTGTTCGCTTGGGCATAAAATAGATAGTTATTTACAGTGAGATTAGCCATTTGCTTTCTTGCAGCCTTCATACTTGACCAAACCAGCGGTTTACTCACCTCATCCATGTGATGAAGAAAAACGATGATGATGCTGTTGCACACGGTCAGCATGGAGATGCAGAGCAGGATGAAGATGTAGATGGTGACCTTGGGCATCTCGAGGGACGACCTCGGCAGCATGCTGCTCACCATGCTCATGAAGACCGTTAAGGCGAGCAGGACCGTTATGCCTTTTGGGGTTGGTAGGTAGAAGAGGACAATTTTTCAGGGGCGTGCATCTTATAAACGTCAACAAAAATTTGTATTTCTCACATGACTTACCCCACAACCCATTCTTAAGGTGAGTGCTCGTCTTGAAACATTATTTTCTTTTTAGTTTTATTATTAATATATTTTTTTTTAAAGTTTAAATCGGCATAATAACAAGTTGAAAAGAAGTTAGTGAAAATGATTCATTGTCGTTGACGTTAACGATCGGTTCGACCCTGATACAATGTTGAGTATGATATAACTTTGAACACCAAGGAAGCCATGGGCGGCACAAAAGGGGTAAATCGCCAAAGACAGTCAATCTTACCATAAGAAATCTTCTCTCCAGACTTGACGGGGATGAAGAAGACAAGGAGGTTGAGGAACGAAAGAAAGATGACTGGTAGGATGATGTTGATGAGGACGTGAGAAGGTCGTCTCTGGAGCACAAAGGTAACCTGTGGACACAACAAAAACATACAATCTGAGAACCACTATACACGGCCTTAATCACAGAAGTAAATTAATTTATGGAGACACCATTTGTAATGAAATTTTTTAGTTTAAAAAAAAAATAATAAATTTGTTTCTTTTTTGATCCATACCTCCTGTGTTTAGATTGTTCTATTACACACACAAAAGTGATCAAAAATTAATAGTCATTAGTTGGGAAGAGATAAGTAAAATTATACTATACATCAGCCAACAAAACTACACGATACATTAGCTGACAGAACTACACAATACATTAGCCGACGAAACTATACAATACATTAGTCAACAAAACTATACAATACATTAGCTAACAAAACTACACAATACATAAGCCGACGAAACTACACAATACATTAGCCGACGAAACTATACAATACATTAGCCAACAAAACTACACAATGCATTAGCCAACAAAACTACACAATACATTAGCCGACAAAACTACACAATACATTAGCCAACAAAACTACACAATACATTAGCCGACGAAACTATACAATACATTTGCCAAACAAAACTATACAATGCATTAGTCAACAAAACTATACAATGCATTAGTCAACAAAACTACACAATACATTAGCCAACAAAACTACACAATACATAAGCCGACGAAACTACACAATACATTAGCCGACGAAACTATACAATACATTAGCCAACAAAACTACACAATACATTAGCCAACAAAACTACACAATACATAAGCCGACGAAACTACACAATACATTAGCCGACGAAACTATACAATACATTAGCCAACAAAACTACACAATACATTAGCCAACAAAACTACACAATACATAAGCCGACGAAACTACACAATACATTAGCCGACGAAACTATACAATACATTAGCCAACAAAACTACACAATACATTAGCCAACAAAACTACACAATACATAAGCCAACAAAACTACACAATACATAAGCCAACAAAACTACACAATACATTAGCTAACAAAACTACACAATACATAAGCCGACGAAACTACACAATGCATTAGTCAACAAAACTACACAATACATTAGCTAACAAAACTACACAATACATAAGCCAACAAAACTACACAATACATAAGCCAACAAAACTACACAATACATTAGCTAACAAAACTACACAATACATAAGCCAACAAAACTACACCATACATAAGCCAACAAAACTACACGATACATGAACCAACAAAATTGCACAAAACATTAGCCAAGAAAACTATACAATACATTAGCCGACAAAACTATACAATGCATTAGACAACAGAACTATAAAATACATCAGGCATTCACTTTTCAGACTGTATCCAATATTTAAGCATACACACTAAGACTCTTAGAGATACAATGTTTCTGAAGCATTTTAAAAAAAAAAGAAATACATATTTAACCTTCCTATCATACTCCAGGTGGCCATACCACTAGCCACCTCTGCTGACCATGTATCCCACATTCATATCATACTCCAGGTGGCCATGCCACAAGCCACCTCTGCTGACCATGTATCCCACATTCCTATCATACTCCAGTGGCCATACCACTAGCCACCAATGCCGACCAGGTATCTAGCTTACCCGACTGTCATGGCTTGCCACTAATTGTCAGCCTCATATAAATTACCGCTCTTCACTAACCTTCTAACCCATTACCAATTACCTCTTCCAGGTGATCCCTTTACAATGATTTACTTAAGAGCAGTTTACTCATAGGGTATACGTTAAAATTGCTTCCTGTGCTCTCACAATAAAAAAAACCTTGTAACAGACCATGTTTGCACACGAAACCATTGAGTCAGGGTGGTGGCATAATTTGAATATTGTACTATGTTAACGTGTATTTTTCACGGGAAAAGAGAGTGAATTATGTGAAGTAATTGCATTCTGGATTTTATTACCTGGATATTTGTTCAAGGATTATTATTATTGTTGTAGAAAAGTGATATAATAAAGTACTGTGAATTTAACTGGAAAGCGATATCTATTTCTTGTGTGACAGACTGATAGAGGTTAGGTGTGAAAGAGTGAAGTAAGCATTACATTACACAAGCCGGCATCCTGAACGCACATGATAGACGTAAAGTAGTTAACCATGCTAACACCCTAATAAAATAGCATGTGTTACAGACCTGTATAAAGCAAGTAGAGACATATAAGAATCTAAGTGTCACCATATGGAGCAAGTAGAGACATATAAGAAGTACCTAGGTGCCACCATATCAATCAAGTAGAGACATGTAAGTACCTAGTTTTCACCACATAGATAACGTAGAGATATGTAAGTACCTAGGTGCCACCATATCAATCAAGTAGAGACATGTAAGTACCTAGTTTTCACCACATAGATAACGTAGAGATATGTAAGTACCTAGGTGTCAACCTATAGAGCAAGTGGAAACATGTAAGTACCCAGGTGTCACCATTAATAATAAGCTGACATGGAATGAAGACAATCAAATTATGTATTTTTAAAAAAAGCAAACCTGAGACTTTTCTAGTTAAGAAAACTGTATAATTTTAACGTAAACAATTTATTAACATATTCTACAGTGCAAAAAGTGGAATCCTGCTGAAGTTCGATGTTAAAGGTTGGGCTGGTGTGTGAAATCCTTAACTGACACCAAACACCGACTGAATAGACCACTCATAATAGCTGGTAATATCATACAAACTAAACCATCCCTTCACTTGGGAAGCTATTTGAAGAAATATGCTGCTGTAAAACTAAACCTATTTGTATGATACATCCTATAACCTCTTCATCACAGATACTTGAGATCAATTCGATCAGGGCGAATTCTTTCTCTTTAAGTTACGACCAAAAGATATAAAACATTCTTTTGTTCTCCAGTCTGTATGAAATTACCAGCGTGCTCCGCCAGCAGGTGTTACCAAATGGAAATGTCACTATTTAAGTCAGTACCGTCACTAAATAAGTTCATTGATGGCTGATATCTACGCTTAGGAAACACTGTAGATGTCTTGTTTTCAAATTGTTATAGCTGTAAAACATTGTTTTGCTTAAAATGTGTCTTATTTATGAGCTGAACATGAACATGTACAGCGTAAGCAAAATGATTTCCAATTATTTTGATCAATATATAATCTTATCTTATCTAACCTCATCTTATCTAATCTTTAATTTTTTTCTAATTTTTTCTATCTGATCTTATGCAAACTTATCCTATATATTTCTTATATTATCTTATCAAATTTAATTTTATCTTATCAAATTTAATTTTATCTTATAAAAATGCTTACATAGTCATAAAAACACAAGTAGGAAAATAGAATCAAAATAATTAACAAACAAAAAGAATGATACACATGAATACTTAAAAGAATTAAAAATGAAAAGAATCATTATGGTTTTATTTATGTTAGACACAATAAAAACGTTATTGATATTATTATATTGGTTCTTTGGCAACCATGGAATATTTATTGTGCACGCTTCGAGAAACGCTCTATTTATATACATTTTTTTTGGTTGCTTAGATAGAAATCAACTGATCACCACGTTCATATAGTCAGTTGATATACATAAGGGGAAAATATTATATAAATGTACAGGAGATCAGATTTTTTAAAAGCCCAAAAATATCTGATGCAAACGATAACAGCTGATAAAAAAATAAAAAACCATACATCCTGACGATAACAAAAGTTGTAAAGTCCAGTTAAAGAAAACACCCCCAAATAGTTTCACTCAATGTACCCATGTACCTTGGTAGAGGAGACTTAGTTTCACTCAATGTACCATGTACCTTGGTAGAGGAGACTTAGTTTCACTCAATGTACCATGTACCTTGGTAGAGGAGACTTAGTTTCACTCAATGTACCATGTACCTTGGTAGAGGAGACTTAGTTTCACTCAATGTACCATGTACCTTGGTAGAGGAGACTTAGTTTCACTCAATGTACCATGTACCTTGGTAGAGGAGACTTAGTTTCACTCAATGTACCATGTACCTTGGTAGAGGAGACTTAGTTTCACTCAATGTACCATGTACCTTGGTAGAGGAGACTTAGTTTCACTCAATGTACCATGTACCTTGGTAGACGAGAAATTCATGATAAAGAGGGCCATGTACTTGGTAGAGGAGACTTAGTTTCACTCAATGTACCATGTACCTTGGTAGAGGAGAAATTCATGATAAAGAGGGCCATGTACTTGATATAGGAGACTTAGTTTCACTCAATGTACCATGTACCTTGGTAGAGGAGAAATTCATGATAAAGAGGGCCATGTACTTGATAGAGGAGACTTAGTTTCACACAATGTACCCATGTACCTTTGATAGAGGAGACTTAGTTTCACACAATGTACCCATGTACCTTGATAGAGGAGACTCAGTTTCACACAATGTACCCATGTACCTTGATAGAGGAGAAATTCATGACACCGGTGGTCAAGTTTGTGGCCTCAATGTGTCTGTGTATTAATTCCCACTCCTCGTGTGTGGTCGAGAACTGGACTCCCACGCTGGACGGTGACGTGACGAACTGCAGCTCATCTTTGGTCAGTGACATGGCGACAAGCTAATGAAAAAATTAAGAAAATAACTACGGCTACAGTACAATGAAGATAGTCTATGAAAACGATCCAAGAAGTTTTGCTTCAGTCATAATTAAACTGATTCTTAATGATTTGATACACTTCATTAACATTATCATTTAAATTGTGTTTCTTATTTATAGTTTAGCCGGGAGGGGGGGGGGGCAGCTCTTGATTTATTCCCAATTTTTTTTTTCTTTTTTATCAAGACATTTTACTTCACATTCTTTAGTCAAATGAAATTTTAGAGTTTTAAAACAGATAATGGATTAAGTTTCATTATACTAATGTACTATTATGGATATTGTTTTTAATGCCAGCACAGTGCATTTCAGAGATAAAGAGGGGCCCGATATACTCGACTACTAAAGGAAGCTGATAGATTTGAGTCTCTGTGAATGTGAGACCCTGTGAATGTGAGAGCCCTGTGAATGTGAGACCCAATGAATGTGAGACCCTGTGAATGTGAGACCCTGTGAATGTGAGACCCTGCAAATGTGAGACCATGTGAATGTGAGACCCTGTGAATGTGGGACCCCGTGAATGTGAGGCCCTGTAAATGTGAGGCCCTGAATGTGAGGCAATGTGAATATGAGACACTATGAATGTGAGGCAATGTAAATGTGAGACCCTGTGAATGTGAGGCCCTGTGAATGTGAGGCCCTGAGTGTGAGGCAATGTTAATGTGAGGCCCTGTGAATGTGAGGCCCTGTGAATGTGAGGCCCTGTGAATGTGAGGCAATGTGAATGTGAGTCCCTGTGAAAGTGAGGCCCTGAATGTGAGACCCTGTAAATGTGAGACCGTGTTGATGTCAGGCCCTGTAAATGTGAGACCCTATGAATGTGAGACCATGCGAATTTGAGACCCAGTGAATGTGAGGCTCTGAATGTGCGACCCTGTAAATGTAAGACCCTGTGAACGTGATGCAATGTGAATGTGAGACACTGTGAATGTGAGACCCTGTAAATGTGAGACCCTGTGAATGTGAGGCCCTGAATGTGAGGCAATGTGAATGTGAGACCCTGTGAATGTGAGGCAGTGTGAATGTGAGACCCTGTGAATGTGAGGCCCTGAATGTGAGGCAATGTGAATGTGAGACCCTGTGAATGTGAGGCAGTGTGAATGTGAGATCCTGTGAATGTGAGGCAGTGTGAATGTGAGGCAATGTGAATGTGAGACCCTGTGAATGTGAGGCAGTGTGAATGTGAGATGCTGTGAATGTGAGGCAATGTGAATGTGAGACCCTGTGAATGTAAGACCTGTTTATGTGAGATACCGTGGATGTGAGACCCTGTGAATGTGAGACTCTGTGAATGTGAGACCCTGCGAATGTGAGACCATGTGAATATGAGACCATGTGAATGTTAGACCCTGTGTATGTAAGACCCTGTTTATGTGAGATCCCGTGGATGTAAGACCCTGTGAATGTGAGACCCTCTAAATGTGAGACCCTGTGAATGTGAGGCCCTGAATGCGAGACAATGTGAATGTGAGACCCTATGAATGTGAGGCCATGCGAATGTGAGGCCCTGTGATTGTGAGGCTCTGTAAATGTGAGACCCTGTGAATGTGGGGCCCTGAATGTGGGGCAATGTAAATGTGAGACCCTGTGAATGTGAGACCCTGTGAATGGGAGGCAATGAAAATGTGAGACCCTGTGAATGTGAGACCCTATGAATGTGAGGCCTGGAATGTGAGGCAATGTGAATGTGAGACCCTGTAAATGTGAGGCCCTGTAAATGTGAGACCCTGTGAATGTGAGGCCCTGTAAATGTGAGACCCTGTGAATGTGAGACCCTGTGAATGTGAGAACCTGTGAATGTGAGGCCCTGAATGTGAGGCCCTGAATGTGAGGCAATGTGAATGTGAGACCCTGTGAATGTGAGGCAGTGTGAATGTGAGACCGTGTGACAGATAATGGACTAAATTTGATTATACTAATATACTAATATAGATATTATTTTTAATGCCAACACAGTGCACTTCAGAGATAAAGAGGAGCCAGATATACTCGACAACTAAAGGACGGTGATAGATTTGAGTCTCTGTGAATGTGAGACCCTGTGAATGTAAGACCCTGTTTATGTGAGATCCCGTGGATGTGAGACCCTGTGAATGTGAGACCCTGCGAATGTGAGACCATGTGAATATGAGACCATGTGAATGTGAGACCCTGTGAATGTGTTACCCCGTGAATGTGAGGCCCTGTAAATGTCAGGCCCTGTAAATGTCAGGCCCTGAATATGAGACAATGTAATGTGAGATCCTGCGAATGTGAGACCCTGTGAATGTGAGGCCCTGAATGCGAGACAATGTGAATGTGAGACCCTATGAATGTGAGGCAGTGCGAATGTGAGACCCTGTGAATTTGAGGCCCTGTGAATGTGAGACCCTGTGAATGGGAGGCCCTGAACATGAGGCAATGTGGATGTCAGGCCCTGTAAATGTGACACCCTTAGAATGTGAGGCCCTGAATGTGAGGCAATGTGAATATGAGACCCTGTGAATGTGAGGCCCAGTAAATGTGAGACCCTGTGAATGTGAGGCCCTGTAAATGTGAGACACTGTGAAATTGAGACCCTGTAAATGTGAGACCCTGTGAATGTGAGGCAATGTAAATCTGAGACCCTGTGAATGTGAGACCCTATGAATGTGAGGCCCTGTGAATGTGAGGCAATGTGAATGTGAGTCCCTGTGAAAGTGAGGCCCTGAATGTGAGACCCTGTAAATGTGAGACACTGTGAAATTGAGACCTTGTGAATGTGAGACCCTGTGAATGTCAGGCAATGTAAATGTGAGACCCTGTGAATGTGAGACCCTATGAATGTGAGGCCCTGTGAATGTTGAGGCCCGGAGTGTGAGGCAATGTGAATGTGAGACCCTGAAAATGTAAATCCTTGTAAATGTGAGAACCTATGAATGTGAGGCCTTGTCAATGTTAGACCCTGTGAATGTGAGGCCTTGAATTCGAGGCAATGGGAATGTGAGACCCTATGAATATGAGACCCCGTGAATGTAAAACCCGAGCCAAATATACCTCTCCTCCAATTTTATCAATACACTGGTACATTCAGTTTGGTCATGCTCCAATTGTTTTTTAAATATGTCAATAACTCTTTAATGGTAGGCTTATCTTCTGTTAATCACTGGGACAAAAGCCTGTTCCACGGGTTATATCTGGCATAACGGCTTGAACTCGAATATGTGTTTAAAAATTTCCAGTACATGAAGGTTCAGGGTGGGACTTCTTTTCTTTAGGTTTTTGATTCCAATAAGGATATCTTTACTAAGCTTGAGACAGTTATATGCAATAGCTCACCTGTATGCTACAAGATTGCTGATCAAATGGGTAATTTTCCATGTGGAGCTCACACGAAGTCGGGAAAATACTCCCAGGAACCCAGGAGGTTTTCCCATTGTGAAACATAAAAACTGGGCTGTGGAACAATCGGCAGAAGTACGAGTAATTACTCAAAGTGACATCTGAACAGTCCGTAAAAGTACCAGTAAATACTCAAAATTACATCTGAACAGTCAGTAGAATTACCAGTAAACACTTAAAGTGGCATCTGAACAGTCAGTAGAAGTACCAGTAAATAGTCAAAGTGACATCTGAACAGTCAGTAGAAGTACCAGTAAATGTTAGAAATATCATCAAAATGAATATGTCTAGTAAACACAATCGATAACTTTGTAGATACGTTTTACTATACGCCATTGACCAGCACACCTTTGTATTGTTTTACTCTGTAGTAATATAATGAAGTACGTAAAGTATCAAGAGCTCGACGATGTAATGTATGAGCAAATCACGTGTAATGTAAATTACGCCCAAATTAAACAGCTGCGTTTTTGTGATGAAGGAATGTAAGGCTCAATGATAATATTCTACATGACCCCCATGCAAAATACACATAATGTCATAATCCATTGCAACACAAACCTGTACACACCCGACTCTTATTCAACTTAAACATAATACAACATAAACCTATTCAAAATGCAACATCTAACCATACAATATAAACATAATATGCCACACGGACCCATACTCGACGAACCCTTACAACATGAGCCAATATAGCATCCACATCAACCTATACGGGATCCACATCAACCTATACAACATCCTCATGAACCTACACAACATCCACATGAAAATATACAGCATCCAAATTAACCTATACAGGCTCAACATCAACCTCTACGCCATCCACATCAACCTACTGAACATAGGGCGTATAAATATATATTATATCTCATAAAGCCCTTCAACACTACACTAAAAAAAAAACCAATGAAATTTTGCATTCCATTTTTTTTTTGGGGGGGGAGGGGGGACCGAGCTATTGCTCTTTAATGGCCCCGGCAAGTATGGTACCGTTCTGCCTCTTCTGCTGGGCTTTTCCGTAACCCAACTTTCGACATGGCTGGCTGACAGCACCCAACACTACACTACACAAAGGATTCAATAAGCCACTCACGCTTTGTTGTCATCAAAGAGGTCTCGCTCTCCGAGTGTATTTAACAAAATCACTCGTGGTCTCCAGATCTTTTCCGGCAAAGGATGGATGACCGTTTGTCCGTGATGGTCAGCTGGGTCCCAGGCGATGCGCTGTGGAGGAATGGCAGAAGATTTGCTAGTTGTCAAGGTCATGACATCAGAGAGAATGTGTGGGTTTTGATTATTGGTGACAAGTGGGGCTTGTGTGGGTTTTGATTTTTGGTGACAAGTGGGGCTTGTGAGTGAGTGTGAACGATTGTCATGTCACGAGTGCATGAGACTTGGGGTTCATAAAGGGGAGGCAACTTTTTGAGTGGGGGCCATATTATGTTCACAGACAGGAGAGTGAACTGGAGATGGAGAGTGAGAGAAGTAAAAAGGGAAAGGCTACACTGGGCAGGACACGTGGAAAAAAAGATAAAATGGCAAAGAGGTGAAGTGGGTGCATCACCAAAACCCCAGAGGAAAACGGCTCAAAGGCAGACCTAGGTTGAGATGGATGGATGATGTGGAAAAAGATCTATAGCAGCTGGGAATTAAAACATGGAAAAGAAAAGCATTAGTTAGGTCTGATTGGAAGGAAGTGATGACGCAGGCCAAAGTCCTTGTTTTGTTGTTCATCGGTCAAAATTGATTAGGACCATCGAGTTATCCGATTTCGGGGGGAGGGGGTGGGAGGTGGTTACGGTGAGCTTGTAGGTGGCTTGCTAGACCGATCCGTGCTCGGAATAATCTCTGGCACCGTGGGCAGGGGATAGGTGCTGCAGACGGTGATCTAATGTTGCTCTTTCGGGCCAGCCTGCATTTCTCAGCTGTAGTTATCCTACTGGCTTCATGGGATTTAGCCCCCTTCTTGAAAGCTTCACTCCACATGGCTCTGTCCTGGGTTGTCTGCACCCATCCAATAGGGTTGATGCTGAAGGCTTTAGTGACACTTTCAGTGAGTCTTTGTAACGCTTTTTTGACCTCCTTGGGAGCGCTTGCCTATCGTGAGTTATCCAAAGATTATCTGTTTTGGGAGCCGGTGGTCTTCCATACGGGGCTACGTGTCCTATCTAATGGAGCTGATACGCCATCAGGGTGGTGAAGATACTAGGTAGGTTTGCTCTAGCAAGGACCTCGGTGTCCGAGACTTTGTCTTGCCACCTGATGCCGAGAAGTTTCCTGAAGCATGTTGTTTGAAAATGGTTCAGTTTCTTGGCGTGACGCTGGTAGACTGTCCACGTTTCACATCCGTAGAGCAATGTCGAGAGGATTGCTGCGCTATATAACTTGATCTTCGTTTCTCGCCTGATAACTCTCCTGTCCCAAACAGTGCTGCGGAGCCTGCAAAATATAGCACTAGCTTTTGCGAGTCTGGCACTTATTTCGTCATCCATGACGACAGATCAGGAGAGGGTGCTGCCCAAGTAAATGAATTTATCCATCGCGTTAAGACGCTGTTCGCTGATGATGATGTTTGGTTCCACGTAGGGCTTACTAGGAGCTAGCTGATACATCACCTGAGTCTTCTTTGTGCTGATTGTGAGGCCAAAGTTATGCAGGCCTCCGAGAAGATATCAACACTGTGTTGCATGGCTGCTTCTGAGGAAGCGTTGAGGGCACAATCGTCCGCAAACAGACGCTCGTTGATGGTGTTATGTTTGACCTTGGTCTTAGCTTGATGTCTCCTAACATTAAAGACTGATCCATCAGTGCGAAACCAGATTGACAAGCCCGTGGTGCAGAATAAATAATACTGAAGATTGTGGGAGCCAGGCGAAAGCTCTACATCGGCTGTAGCGCCACAGGGATGAATGGAAGGAAACATTCTTGTGTTTACATGCATTAATTTGTTCGTTTGTTTGGTGTTTTTTTACTTATTGTTATATTAATTGTTTATTTGCATTGACTGTAAACAAACAAAGCAATTTGTGAAAAGTTCTTACCTCGTCATTCCAGCTGAAGACCAGGAAACCATTGCAGACAAAACTCTGAAGGACGTCGTTGACCTCCACGATGGAGACCAGCTCGAAACTGACGTTAACGAAGATGGCTCGCGATTGGTCTTTGATGGGTCTGATCTCGGTGTTGTAGTTGTCACCGCCGAGCTTGTCACGGTAAATGGCCATGGTGGCCTCGTAGGTCTGATGACTACCACCAGTGTCCATTTTGTGCACAAACTTTTTTTTTTGGTTGTTTTTTTTTTTTTTACAATTCTGAATCCGATGTTACATAAATAAATACATAAATAAGTATAAATTTATTCAAATCCAAACGTTAAAAAGGAAAACTAGACACACAAGTAAACATTCCTTTTAATTAAAATATGAAACATTCAATAATGTCTAATCGAAATTTTTGTATCTTCTTTTTTAAAAAAAAATACTTTTCTATGTTTAATTTGAATTTATGTTCGTCTTTTTCACACATGAGTTTCCATACATATTTCTTCATATATATTTTAACATATTTTTTGCATTTATTCATTATTTATTTATTTATTTTTGTTTACTTTTGCTCTCCAAAACGGGTTCGAATAAAGCAAACATAGCATTATATGTTTCGATAAAGCAGATAATATGTACATTATTTTATTTACGTGGTAAAGTTCACTACAAAGAATGCTGTTATTAAATGTCCCATTATTATTTTATTTTATTTTTTTACATTGATTTGACGTAGTTAAATTTCAAGTTTTAAATCTTATAAACTGCACCGAAAATATACATTTAGAAGTTTGCATTGAACTTAACACATTAGGTAAGCTCCGGTCCAGATTGTACGATAAGTTTATTTTAGAGAACTTGAACAAAAAAAAATCCTGAGAAACGGTATGACCTTTAAGTCGTGGATTTATCAGCAGTCCTATTTTAGCAATTCCATAATTGTGCCGGTACATGTCTCATCTTTTTATTTGTATTAATTTTAGTGAAGTGTAGGTCCACAAAGTTCCAACACAAAGAAGCACAAGGATATGAACAAGTCACAGATGTAGCAATATTTTCAGGAATATTCACTACCAACATTATGTTTTCTGCGATAACCTCAATATATATATATATATATATATATATATATATATATATATATATGTAAATAAATAAATATATATATATATGAACGTTTTTTTTTGAAAACTTAAAGCGAGAAATTTGCCTAATGACTAATGAAATGAAGCACCTATGAAACCAAATAAACTCAGTTTAATTATTCGTAATCTATTCTAAATTGACACAGCTTCTTTTTCACAAACAAAAACCATTTCAACTGCACATCTTATGAAATTGTAATCATTATTAACTCCATAAATTAAACAATTTTAGTCCCGTAATACATTTCAGAACATGTTGATTTTTCTTTCAAATTTGAAAAAGTTTGTTTTTTCTAATTGGGTTTATTGTAACTCTATCTGACAACAGACACAATGTTATACATTAACTGTAGCCACAAGCACTGATTGATTCTGGTTCCCCCCAAAAATGTATGACAGCCTTCGACACACACAACGATAAAAATTAAAACACGTCACAGGGGTGTGTTTGTCTAGGACTCACCTTTGAAACGCCGACTTGACTATACAAATATATATCTCAAGCTTCTAAACGTCCTAGATACCCAAGGGTGTTGTAAGAATCGACCCACCAGATACGCCTCTGTGAACTGTGTGTGTTGGATTAATCCAATCGATAGCGTGTTTCCATTGGCGCCGCCATTGTCTGTTTAGCTTTTTTTCCCCGCAAGACAAAGCCACGGGTCTAACAAGACCCTAAATTTGTGTTCAAGTAACACGATACCACCACTAATTGATCTGCCCTAAATGTATGTGTTGAGTGGCGGAACTGTCCTATCCGTACCAGTCAAATAAAGTAACTTAATTCAGGCGTGACTTGAAGGGAATCAGAACAAATGGGAGGATTTTAGGGTATTGTTGTGTGGAAGGGGCTTGCCTTAAACTGAATTGGTTTGATTAGAATATCCTGTGGTTTACATTAGGCTATATTGATTCAGTGTTGTTGTGTGGACACGTTAGTTTTCAAGTTTATCACAATGCGATGTATTAAAACTAATTGCTGAAGCTCCTTGACCCATCATTGAATCAGAAGTAATAGACACAAAAAATAGTGGCTGTGTCAAGATGCGCGGGTTGAAAACTACTGGTCAAAATTAATTTTGGACTCAAAGCAGCCGTTTTAAAATCACTTCTTTGTTACTGTCCTCGATTAATCCTTTTCAAGAGATCATGCAATATTTTTGTGTAATATTTATTACATTGTTTGTCTATATTACATAATAAACTATATGCCCAAATGGGGGTCGAAAACTTCATATGTTTTTCAGCAACTTCATACCAGTCGCAACCTATGAATATGACAGACGTGAAAATATTGGGAAATGACCAAGAAACCAAATCAAGATTTAAATTGTATTCCACAGCACGTGTCGCTGCTTATGATTCATTGGGACCAAATCCAGGAATCCCGTGTGGAGTAACATCACGAGTGGTGCTAAGAAGCTGGAAGGAGTGGATTTGTTGCTTTAAAGTTGAGTAGGAACGACAAGCCAGGACCGAGGCTTGGGCGCCAGGACCGGCGCCAGGGATTCAAATGTGGGAGAAACATTCTAATATACACCTTCATGTCCTACATTTAATTTTTTTTTTTTTAAATTGAATGCTGTACACATATGCAAAATACAATTTCACAAAGATCGTTTTATTTTCATTGCAACTGAATTAATACGTATCAAAACAAACTTAATTTTTAATAAAGTTGTTATGAAGAAAACCCTCACCTGGCCTTCATCAGAGAATGGAAGACGAGCAACACAAAGTATGGGTAAACCTGAGATAAAGAACGCAACAAAACCACGATCGTGTCGGCAGGAAGACTTCTGCAACGAGCAAACAACATAAAAAAAAATAGAATTCAATTAAAAATGGCAATTAGCTGAAAAAGTAGCACCAATCGAGGACACTGATTACTCGCTGATCTTTAATGTGTATGCACAGCTACGTGGTACTTGTACACATACACTGCGAGGTACCTGTGCACGCACAACTGCGAGGTACCTTTGCACGCACAACTACCAGGTACCTGTTCACATACACTACGATTTACCTGTGAAGGCACATCTGTGAGGTACCTGTGCACGCACAACTAAGAGGTATCTGTGCCTATCAAACTTGAATTCAAAACTTTTGAGGGTGTAACGAAATAAAGTTTACGATTTTTATCAACGATAAATGCAGATTCAATCAAATTTAATTTTTAAACTTTTTTTCAAGTGAAAGTAGTAAATAATAAATAATTTCACCTTCGCCTGTTAACTTCACAAGTGTCTGTAAATTTCATGCCCACCTTTTAATTTAACCTTTGCCTCTTAACTTCACCTTCTACTATTGGAAGCCTGCTTAATTTCAGTATTACCTGCTGGTGTGGAAATTCAACGTCTGATATTAAACACCGCATAAATCGACTAATCAAGAAAGTTAGGAACATAACACAAACTAAACATCCTTCCCTTGAAGAACTATTTGAAGAAAGATGTTTTTGTAAAACTAAACACATTTTGGATGATACATCCCACCCTCTTCATCACAAATACTTAGGATCGGGCCGTTCGGGACGAATTCTTTCCATCAGCGCGAGGACTGAAAGCTATAACAATTCTTTGTTCCCCAATCTGTACAAATTTACCGGCGTGCTCCCTCTGAAGGCACACCTCTTTATGAGAACTAATAAGTCCCCGATTTGGCTAAGAGAACTCACTGAACGGCTATTTGAAATAATTTATTATAAATGCCTTGTGTTCAAATCGTTTTATTTATGCGCTGAATATGTACAATGCAATCAAAAACATTTTCATTTATTTGTATCAAAAGAATCTTATCTTATCTTTTCTTATCTTATAATTTTAACTTTCTCTGTTAATTTGACCTTTGCCTCTTAACTTCAGCTTCTACTCTTAATTAGACCTTTGACTGTTAATTTGAACTTTGCCTCTTAACTTCACCTTCTACTCTTAATTTGACCTTTGTCTTTTAATTTGACCTTTGCCTCTTAACTTTACCGTCTACTCTTAATTTGACCTTTTCCCCTTAACTTCACCTTCTACTCTTAATTTGACCTTTGTCTGTTAATTTGACCTTTGCCTCTAACTACACCTTCTACTCTTAATTTCGACCTTTGTCTGTTAATTTGACCTTCGCCTCTTAACCTAACCTTCTACTCTTAATTTGACCTTTGACTGTTTATTTCATCCTCGCATCTTAATATTTCATGCAGTCATTGGGTTTAAACAAGTGAGTAAATGACTATGATCCATAAGGATAAGAAGACACATGTAAAATATCATGCTCTAACTCCAACGGAAGAAAGAGATGAAAGCATGAAGGAAACTTTCTACTGAACGCGCGAAAGAGTATTTGATGAGGCACCACGCCATGAAACCAAAATATTCCTCAGCGATTTCAATGCGAAAATCGGGAAAGAACCTGCTTACAGACCAACAACCGGAAAGGGAAGTCGGCATGATGAGAGCAATGAAAACGGAACACGTCTTAAAGACTTCGCTACAGGAAAAGGGTAGACAATCACTGGCATATTCTTCTTCTTCTTTATTTTAAGGGCCCACGATCAATGAATTGATCATTCTGGCTCCTATGTTTCAGAGGGGTTTGCGATGTTACTGTCCATGGGTTTCAATGGGATACTTCACTGGTTGCAAGGGCGACTCAGCAGTGGTGTTATGAACTGGGGGTTGGAATACAGGAGGCAATAGACACAAATGTCTCGAGTGTAGCCGCCTCAACTGTTGCTTTTGGAAGCTTGTTCCAGTCCCCTATTGTCTTCGGCAGGAATGAGGAGCTTCTGTACTTTGTTCTTGTTTTTACCAGCCGGAACTGTTTGTCGTGACTTCGTCGCAGTCTGGGGGGAAGATGAACGAGTTTCTGTTTGATTCCGGAGCAGTGCACCAGCCCATTTGTTATCTTGTACATCAATGTCGACCAGCCCAGTGTTTCCAGCATGCTACCAACACTCGAGGTGCTTCTGTAGCGGTTCATGACAAAGCGTGCTGCCCGTCGCTGGACCGCCTCCAACCTGTCGATGCTTTTCTGGGTAAATTGGTCCCAGACTGTAGAAGC